GTGGAGGTGTTCACCTTCTTGGTGAATCATTGGGGCGTACTTTTGGCATTGTTCGCAGTTCCTCACGAAGTCTAAGGCGTCCTTTATAATGGTGGGCCAATAGTATCCCGCCTGTATGAGGCATCTAACGAGTGCTCGATTGCCGGAGTGAGCACCGCAATGGCCTTCGTGGACTTCTTCGAGGACGCGCTGAGTCTGTCTTGGGCACAAACATTTTGCCAGAGGGCCACCATAAGTCCTTTTGTACAGGTCTCTATGGAGGAGACTGTATTTGGCTGCTTGCATTCTTAATTTCTTGGCTTCTTTTTTGTCGTCTGGGAGTGTGTCGTCCTGCAAATATGTGATAATATGATTATGCCAATCCCAAGTTAAGCTTACGGTTCTTACCTCGATTTGGTCTAGTGATGATTTGAGGAGGTGAACTACGTTTTTATCCCCGGTCGTGATGCTTTTGGTAGCTATGGAAAGTTTGGCGAGGCCATCCGCTTCGGCATTCTGTGCACGTGGGATCTGGTCGAGCTGGCATTCGTCGAACATAGGAAGTAGCTTGCAGATTTCGATCTGATATGTTTGCAACCTTTTTTCCTTGATTTGGAAGGTCCTCGTGACTTGGTTGACCACGAGCTGGGAATCACAGCGGAGTTCCAACTTCTTTGCCCCATATTTGAGTGCTAGCCTCAACCCTACTACGGCCTCATACTCGGCCTCGTTGTTAGTCATATCCGGGCACCTTATAGACTGGCAAATTACTTCACCTGTAGGGACCTCGAGTACGAGTCCCAGTCTAGACCTTGATGCGTTGGATATGCCATTGGTGTTTAAGACCCAGGGGTCTTATGTCTGGAGGGAAGCTTGGATGGCTTCCTTTTCAACTTCATGCATTATCTTTGCACTGAAGTCTGCGATGAAGTCAGTGAGCACCTACAACTTTATCGCCGTTTGCGGCTGGTATGTGATATTGTGCTCGCTTAGATCGATGGACCATTTAGACAGCTTCCCCGATTGATCGGGTTTATGCAAAATGCTCCTCAGGGTAAAGGTTGTAATGACCGAGATAGGGTGGCATTGGAAATAGGGTCTAAGATTTTGTGAAGCTGCGACCAATGCCAGAGTAAATTTTTTGAGGTGCGGGTACCTCGTCTCGGCGTCAATGAGTGTTTTTCTAATGTAATAGATGGAAGATTGCATACCTTTGTTTTCATGGATCAAGACTACACTTACCGCCACTTCGGAGATGACTAGATAGACGAGGAATTGCTCCCTAGGTTCGGGTTTTTAAAGCAAAGGTGGTGATGACAGGTATGCCTTCAGTTGTCGCAAGGGAGTCCATTCAAGGCCATTGTCCTTTTTGAGTATGCCAAAAAATTTGTGACATCTATCAGACGGCCATGAGATGAATCTTGATAGGGTGTCGATTCAACCAGTCAACCTTTAGACTTGCTTCTTGCTAGTCAAGAGTTACGGTATCCCCTCGATAGCTTTGATTTGGTCTGGGTTGAACTCAATCCCCCATTCCGACACCAAAAAAACTCAAGAACTTTCCCGAGGCTACGCTAAACGCGCATTTCTTCGGGTTTAGTTTCATTCCGTACCGTCTTAGTATGTCGAAAGCTCCCTTCAAATGATTGATGTGATCATTTTCCTTTACGAACTTTACCAACATGTCGTCTATATATACTTCCATGGTCTTGCCGAGCTGGTCTTTGAACATCTTCATGACCAATCTTTTATTTGTGCCCCCGTTCTTCAGCCCAAATGGCATGATCCTATAACAATACTGCCATGCACCAAAACTGAGGAGCGCGACCGGCGCTCAACCGAGTGAACCCGACCGAGCAAGCCTATTAAATTTCATTCTACCCAAACTCATCCACGAATGGAGATAATACATATTTTCATTAATTAGACAAAAAGGTGTTCATGTCTACCATACCATTTCATTACCAATAGTTTCATCATTTTCAAAGTCTTAAATGGACAAATGAAACAACCACGACATAATATATTTTGACTTTCCCAGTACCAATACACAACCCACACTATGTCTACGGAGCCTCTATAGATAAGGAAGAGTACAATGATAATGCCGGCAACAAGGCCCCGGATATACCTCAAACAGAATACACAACATACAAAAGATTTATGACCCCGGGATGAAGTGAGGCTCACTAAGTCAGCTGGGAAGAAGGTATACTACTATCACTAATCAATATCTCCTGCTGTGGAACCACCTGCATCCATTTAAAGATACAGTGCCCCCGGCAAAAGGGACGTTAGTACCGTCGAATAGCACTAGTATGTATAACTAAACACCCTCTCAATAGAATGACAAATTATACAAACAAGATTTTCATAATATCAATAAAATCCTTAATCAACATCAAACCTCAATTTAGGATCAAGACAGTGTTTAAATTAATTTTCATATCTCACATTGGGAGATTTTTAGTATCGATATACCATTGTCCACAATATCATTATTCACAATACTAGTACCATCGTATTCTCAGTACGGAGTCCGATCACGACCCGATCGGCTAGGCTATCCATTAGGGACATCGACCACAATCACAATTTAAATTATAATTTCTAGCACAATCACCATCATGTGTGTGGCATGGTGTCCGATCACGACCCGACCGGCTAGGCTGTCTTATTCGAGACATCAACATTTTTATATCAATCATTGCACTTCATATTACTTTCACATCTTTTCATTTCATTGGCACTAATGGCCATTATTATAAGATCATTCTTGGCACGTTGGCCATATTTAGTATTTCATGATCACCTTTTCACTTTCTAATATCAACATCATCAACAACAACAACAACAATAATTCAAATCAAGTTATGTAGTACACATGTGAGCAATTAAGAGTCTAAGGCACATAGAGATATTTCACAAAATTTGGCATAATAGCCTTCGTTTGAATTTAACTTGAAGTCGAACATTTCTAATGCACAACCCATATTTTTGACACATCCTCAATTGATAACACAACATAAATAAAGCAATTGGAATACTTGTTGAACATATATCTTTCAACCCAATCTTACTCGGAACAACCAATTTTATAATAATCCATTTGGGACTTACATAATTCACATGAATATCGTGGGATCCAATTCTAAGAGAAGAGTTTAGCCAACATACCTCACTTGAGCTTCCTTACACTCTAAATATTCCGAAATTCTTAGCAACTTCAATCTATTGTAGAAATATAACAAATTGAATCAAAATTAGGATGATGATTATGGTTCTAGCTCATTTGAGATTTTTATCAAACACTAGGTGTGCATAAAGGTTTCAAGGTCCTTTTATGGAGGATTCCATCATCCCACAACCCAATCTTTACCAAGCTTAGTTCAATAATCTTCCTATACCCCTTGATATCATATGCATGTAAAATAAACAACTCTCATGCCCAAAATTATCTTGCTAATTACCCATTTTCAGAAAATTTCAAAATTAAGGTTTAGGGTGTAGAATCTTACCTCTAAGATGAAGACCTAGTGAGTTTCCCTTCTTAATCTTCCAAAACATGGGCAAGAATTGAAGAAAAATTATTGAAGAACACCTTCTCACTCTAGGGCACTCTCTCTCACTCTAAAACATCAGATTATAGCTCAAAAATGGCCCAAATAGTGTATTTAACGAAATAGGGTCGGGTTTTAAAAACCCAAAAATGGAGCTCCGGAACAGGTTATGTGATTGCATAGGCGATCTCATAATCAATATGCAGACCGCATATCGGTCGCATAATTGCCGACCAAAACGACCAAAAGAACTGCCTGTGTATGCGGTCACTATGCGGTCCGCATAACTGTTCTGCGGTCGCATAATTACCGCATAACAGTTATGCGATCGCATAGTCGACCGCAGAATTGCCTTCAATCTGGCCCTCTCCTGCCTCACTTCTGCGGCTATTATGCGGCCCGCAGAGTGATTATTCAGTCGCATAATGGACCGCATAAACATGTTTTTCCACCAATATATTTTCTTTACTTTCCGATGCATTGTTCAACCCAAAAGGTCTGAGCCGCGGCGAGCAATCTCGCCGCGAAGAATTTCTTTAATACACAACATGTAAAACCAATTCGGCACCACGAAATATTATTTCCTTTTGCAAACTTTTACGGGGCCTTACAAGTACGTTCCTTGGTGGGTGATGAACATGGTCTTCTCCTAGTCTTCTTCCTCCATAAGTATTTGATTATAGCCTGAGTACGCGTCCAAGAAACTCAATAGCTCGTGCCTGGCTATTACGTCGATGAGTTAGTCGATGTGGGGTAATGGGAACAAATCCTTTGGACATGCTTTGTTTAAGTCTGTGAAATCCACGCACATCCGCCATTTCCCATTTTTCTTTTTGACCATCACTACGTTAGCGATCCACTTAGGGTACTTCGACTCTCTGATGGTGCCATTCTCTAATAGTTTCTCCATCTCTTCGCGGATTGCATCATTGATGGCAGGGTTGAATTTACGCCTGACCTTCCTTCCTGTTGGGTAGAGCGGGTCGACGTTTAATTTGTGTGTGGAAATTTCCTTTGGGATTCCTGGCATATCTGCATGGCTGAAGGCAAACAAATTTGCATTAGTTATTAAGAATTGACTAAATTTACCTGTTCCCGGAGTTTGTAGCCAATGTAGGCCTTTTTGCTACGGTCATTGAGGTCCAATTGAATAGGGTCGAGGTCTTCTATGGTCGAATCTGCATCGTTGACCATTTCGGGATCCAAGATGACATCCCTGGTCTCTCCTTGCGTCGACCTCGGTCCTGTTGATTGCTATGCCTCTTTTTCCTTGTCTTTTTTTTGTTGGGTTGCCATGCTTTCTAAGGCAATGCGGTAGCATTCCCGGGACGTAAGCTGCTCTCCGCGTATGCTGAATATTCCCCATGGTGTTGGAAATTTAATTACTTGGTATATGCTGGAGGGGATGGTTCTCATGGGATATATCCATGGTCGTCCCACTATGGCATTGTATGCGGTGGCCTAGTTCATGATATGGAATGTCGTCTCCAGAGTTACTCCGCCGGCCAATACGGGGAGCGTAATTTCCCTTGACGTCTGCTCAACTGCATTATTAAAATATGTTAGCATGATGCAGCGCGACACTATCTTATCCTCGAGTCTCATTTGGGTGAGGACTGGGGGATGGATAATGCATGCCCCACTTCCATCGTCCATCATGATACGTTTGACATTAGTATCTAAAATGCATAAAGTAATAACGAGGGCATCATTATTAAGGAAAGACAAACCGTCGGCATCGAACTCATCGAAGATGATACTTTCTTCGAGTCTGTCGTACCGTTCGCGGGTGATAGATCGCTTGACCTTGTGAGTGGTGGTGAACTTCACACTATTGATAGAGGTGTCATCGCTGCCGCCGATGATCATGTTGATAGTACGAGCTGGTGATGGCGGCTTCGGCGGACCTTGGTGTTCACGTCCTCTGATGAAGTTGCTTCTCCCCTTGTCGCTTAACAGCTCTTTGAGGTGTCCCTGCGGTAGCATGTTTACGACTTCTTGTCTGAGGGCGATGCAATCTTCTGTTTTGTGCCCACGTTCTTGGTGGAACTCATAGAGGGCGTCGAAATTTTTGGTGTTCGGATCAGATCTCATCTTTGGCGACCACTTTACCTTTGTTCCGAGTTTCTCAAGAGCATTGACTATTTCTATAGGTGCACAAAAATTGTAAGTAGATAATAAAGGGGGCATACCTCTCTCGTTTCAGTGAGTTCCTATCCTTGGTCTGGATGGGCCTTCTTCATAGCAGAGGAAAGGTACAGCGATCGCCCTGACGTATAGCTAGTGTTCCCTGTTGGGTCGCGAGACCGGGTGATCCTTCCTGATGTTGTCTCTTCGTTCTTTTCTGGATTCGGTTTGTACTGAGATTAGCCGATGGGTTGGTCCATTGAGGTCGTCCTTGTCTGCTCGGACCTCGGCACAATAAGCATTATGGATTTCGTTCCAAGTGGTTGGAGGATATTTCATCAATCGGCTCAACAGTTTTCTAGTCGCTCTTGAACCATCTCCTAAGGATTGCTTGATAGCGAATATGTCGTTTACTATTACTTCGACCTTCTTGGCTCCGGCATGGGCAATTAAGAACTTATCGGCCATTTCCTCGAAAGTTTTTATGGAGCGAGCTGATAGCTGTGAATACCATGTTAATGCCCCTCCCGTAAGGGTTTTGCCAAACTTCTTCAGCAAAATAGAGTACACTTGTTCCTTGGCGAGGTCGTTGTCTTTCACGGCGTGACGTAATGGGTCACATGATCCTAAAGATCGGTCGTTCCGTCGTTTAATCTGAGGTAGGGAGGCATTTTGAAGGTCTTTGGTATGGCATGTGGGGTTGTGTCATCGTTGTACGGCTGCTCTACGAACCTATCGGCGTTCCTCTTTTGGCAACAACTTAGGAGCGTCCGGTATCTTGTCGACTCGTTCTTGGTGTTCTTTCATCTGGTCTCGGAGTGCTTTGTTTTCATTCTCCATTTCTCCCATCCTCTTTAGAACGGTAGCAAGGACGTTGTCACCTACACTGTTAGTAATATTGTGAGTTATACCTGTCGTCGGAGGGTTTGGTCTGTTGCATTTCCCGTCTGCTTGTTGTATCATGCAAGCTCTTGCGGTTTCTGTAGTTGTGCCTGGAGCGGGCTTGTTGAGCACGCTCGCTAGCGTGTCGGTCAACCATGCTTCGAAGAGCTTTTTCACAGCTGGGGGCATCCATTCTTCTGCGGACATGGAGGCCTCCCTTTTCCAATGGGTTTTGTTATGCTACAATAGGGGGAGGCGACCTCTCGCGCCTGGGGTAAGCGTTGGGCGTCATGTCCTCGCCCACTGTTTCGCAGCTCTCGTTGATAGCGTTCATGAGGTTGCTAGGGAAATCACTTATTATTTTTGTCTTTTCTCCTTGGTTACCTGCCATGTAGGTTTTTGTACGTACAAAGAAAGAGGATCTTGGTGTTTGTGAGGTTAGTGAATTGTGTTATCCATAGATCTGATGGTAGGCTATAATCCCGTATTTTATTCGCTTATTGCACTCTAATTCACTGCACTTTATTTATGTTGAGCCTTAATTAGGCATGTTTTGCACTTATTGTATGTTTTATGTCCTGTAGGAGTGATTCCGAGCTATGTAGATGTTGTGGCATGAATTCATGCTATTTTGGAGCTTAGAAGTTTGAGTAAAAGACCAAGGATTAAGTCGAAATCGAGTTCGGAGATCAACGGATGATATTGGAACGAAACGAAGAAACGAGCAGGCATATTGCGCAGTGTCCAGTAACATATACATAACCTTTCGCTCGGAACTCCGTTTGGGCTCCACAATATATTGTTGGAAAGATATTTAAAAGAGCTACAATTTTCATGTTTAACACTTTCCCAAATTCCCAATATATAACCCAGGTGCGCAACCAGGTGCGAGATCGCTCACTGGGCGCGCACTTGGGGCAGAATGGTGTGCAAAGTGCACGACCAGGTGCACGGTCACGTATGCCCTATCCGAAAAAAGCCCTATTTCGCTAAGAAAGGGTAGTTTCATCCGGTATTTGTTTTTGGGGTAGATTAAATACCCCAAAATACCATTTCGACAGACTTTTGACATACCTTAGACCTAGGGAAGCTTTGGAGAAGAAGGAGAAACAAGAGCACAAGGATTTCATCCTTCCTTACTCACTCAAATCCGGTTTTGGATTGTATTTATGTTTTTCTCTACTTTTATTTCATTTGTGAAGAACTTCTCCATGTCTATGGAGTAGAACCTTTTGGGTTTTGATGGATTTGGTGTATTGATGGTTGTTTGTGGATTATAACTCTATTTTTATGTATTTGAATCATTTTTGGAAGATTTAATTGTTGCATCTATGTTCACTTATTCTTGTAATCGAAAGAAGCATAACTTGTGATATATTTGCACTATATTGTTGGTTGAATTCATAGATTCTTCTAAGTAATCGAAAGAGGCTATTTGAATCCTTGATTAAACCTAGTTAGGAGGATAATTGAAAGAGGTTCTCCTAAAGACCAATCCATTACGAATTCTTGCATATCTTCACCGAGCTTAAATTGGTTCATATTGTGAGGTTGAGACTTAATCGAGAGAGGAGATTCCACTAAATATTTGTACTGATAATTAAGTGAATTAGAGAGACTCACTTAAATATTAGAAGTGAATTATCTAGAGTTAGATTTCGAATAATTATCTTGCACCTATCCTATCAACCCATATTTTCTCCCATTGATAACTTCATTGCTTACCTTTGTTGAGATTGTCATTAGTCAATAGTTTATGTTCTTATTTAGTTTTAATTCTTAATTGTATAAATCTCCATTGTTGATCCTCCTGGATAGCAATCGAGCTACGAACTACGAGAATACTGTTTAAATTCAATCCATGTGGAGATAATAATTATACTATACTATCTTTGACTAGCGAGCACAATTTAAGTGTGTGTTTTGCGCTCGTCAAGATCTAAAGGAAAATAAAAATTTAACTAAGAAATCCCCACAGACGTCGCTAAATTGTTTGACCAAAAATATAAATCTTGGTTCAACTAGTGTTTTAAAAGGCATTTTCGGGGCGAGCCGCACCAAAAATGCCTCGAGGCGGTGGTGTGGGGCGAAAGTCTCAAGAGGCGTACGCCCAGCAATTCAGGGTGTTCAGGGCATTTAAGGCACGTTTTTGCAGTGAAGCGTAAGCCCCAGAGACTTTTTCAAATTAAAACAAAATTTGTTGAATAAGTCCTTCATATAATACCCAAATTCTCAAAAGTTAGCTTGTAATAACTCAAAAGTTTTAAAAAGGAACTGAAATGTATTAAATTTAAAAATCAAGACCTTTTTTATTAATTGAAACCCTAATTTATGGTCTTTCTCAATTCTTTATCTTGTCCGCTAGTCTGCTAATATTTCCCAAAAGTAACAAATATTCAATTTATTTATTTTTACAAATACAAAGAAAACTTCATTCTCCTTCATAACAGCAAGTTCAAAGTTCAAATTGCAGGTTAGTCATCCTTTTTGTTCCTCCATGTAGAAACTTTATTCTTTTCGACTCAAGTTACTTGTACTTGTAAGTAGCGTATAATAGATTGTTTTGACTAGTTTTTTTTGGAGATGGAGCACATCTATATAGTTTTCTTCAATATTTATGCAATTTTACCTATTTATAAATATTTACTGTAATTATATTATTTTATAAAATATTAAAAATTAAATACCCATCGGGCTTACGTCCCGTGCCTCAGGGCTTGCGACTTCCCGAGACATATGTAAAACGCCTCGCCTTACGCCCACGCCTTTTAAAACACTGGGTTCAACTAACTAAATTTATACAAATGAGGGTTAATCTTGGTTAATAATAATATCCTAAAGACGAAATTCTTAGCAGTGTGATAAATAGCGCGTAGATCTATTCCAAAAGCTATGACGGTGTACAATAATTAATATTTAAGGACCCAAACAGAAGTAATGTAGCATTAAATAGTGATGAACAACAATAAATGATATCAATGGATATTAAATAGAAGGAACGAGTCACCCGAGAAAGGATGAAATCAATGGATATTCTTTTTGACAATGATGAATGATGGACAAGCCTTTGAATATCCGAGTTATTCTCGGATCCAATGAAAAAGTGTGGACATGAATCTTAGTGAAAATGTAATTTTTTTTTGTAAGCTTGCAATAAGATTAGATTCTCTCTTTAAAGTCAAAGTATATTTTACAAATGAATATCATTGTGTTTCTTTCTATTTATAGGGAACATGCTCCTAGAAACCCTAATAGTACAAGTGAAGATAATATCCACTATAATATTCTCTTTAATGTCTTATCTTGAAACTGGCCGTTATAACTCTGTCAAAGGTACTCGGCCTCGATCCTTGATGACTCCTCGGCTTCAGCCCTTGCGGACTCTTCGACCACGGCCTTCATCGTTCCTTAGATCACTTCGACTCGTGACGGCCTAGGAATGTTTCACTAAAGTCATTTTGACTTAAGTATTCTAAAGATAGATTTTGACTCATACATTTGATAATTGAAAAACTCGAATCAATCTCACATATGCACACCCCTCGTGCAAACACACTTTCTTTGGAAATTATATAATGCTGACGGAAAATTCTTAGAGTTCCGTAAAGTGAAACTAACCAAGTTTAATTGAGATCCTTAACAGAGCAACTGTGGATTGAGTCGGAGTTCAAGTTGCCCGAAAAATCTGTGGCACCAATCGGTAATATTGGAATCTGAACCACCATTGATGAAATACTACATTTGGCCTTAAAGTAATTACTTTAGTAAATTGAATTTGTTTAAATATATTTAGCATTTTACAGTATCAATTTTATTTTAAAACTGTTCTTTATACCATGACTTTTCAAATATTTTGAGTTATCTAATCCTGCCAACGTGGTTTATAGTGTTTTTATATAATTTTCAGAATGTAAAATTTATTTTTAATAATTATAGATTATATCCCAATTTACACAGAAAATTAAATAATTTGATCTTCATACTCCAAACCACAACGAATAACATGGAACCTAGGGGATATTTTTTTATGATTTTTCTTTACAGTTTCAATTAGTGAATTGTTAATTAAGTGAAATATTTAAGGA